TAAAAGAATTCAAATTTAAATTTGTCTTACCAATGCATGCCACAGTCTTCTTGCGCACAGTAGCTTGATTAGAACTCAACTGAGAAAGCAGGGAACTTAATAATAGCTCATGATCAGCAGCTATTAGATTCCCAAATTTATGGAGGACATCGCATAAAATATCCAGACATTCACATTTAATCTCTGTGCCCATTCCCTATGGATGAGAAAAGGAGATTCATATCAGAATGTAACTAAGAAAAGCACTAAATAGAGAGTAATTAACAATTAAGCACGGGAGGGGGACAAAATTAGGCAAGTTCATAAATGATAAGCCAATGGACCAATGAACCTAAGTAGACCCAAAACTTAGAAACTAAAATGAATGCTAAAAATCAATCTAATCCCCTATTTGTCTCAAAAGTCATGCATGATGCTTGACATAAAACCATTCAAGTGCCTGACCCTAATGGCTTAAACTTTATAAATAGTTGGTTTATTACACGGTATCAAAGCCTCTATTTCTATGGCAGAGTGGTCTCAATTCAGCTCATATTACTCCTAGGCATCTAAAAAAAAGTAGAATTTCAGAGCAAACCAGGTGGGCCAGTGCATTGCCCACAGGTCAAGCTCAAATGGCTCTTGTCTCGCATGAGAGGCTTGTTAGATATAGAACCACCATTGTGCTTTAGCCTAATAGCTTAAGATTTTAGGATAGCTGATTCATGAAAAGGGTGTTGTACACGTTTCAGAAATTTAAATGTATAAGATATAAAATTCAAATGATAGATATCAAACTTTTACATATAATTTGAACAGGTACACAACAAATGAGAAGCCACTGTGTAGAAATATACATATATACAGAAGGATATAGAACAGAGACAATAAATGTAAATGATGACAGCAGCCTAATACGGGCAGGGATGGATTGTTAAGTTCGATAGAACATAGTTTTTAAACAAAATTAAGAACTTACTGGGCCAGTAATTCCTTTTATCAATTGAGGTGTGAGAGTTTGGAGAATAGACTGTGCAAGAGACTGAGTAGAAACTTCAGCAACGACTGTCTTCAAAGCTATGCTAGCAATGTCACGATGCTGATCCTTCCCATTAAGCAATTTGTCACATAGTTTGCTGGTCATCTCCACAACCCTGGCCTCACTCACCTTCCTCACTAACGGAGCAAGACTGCAAATTTGAATCAAATTTCAACCAATAAATGAATGAAAACAAGCCTGATACTTTATCATTAGTTATTTCATTTTTTGGCGACAACCTGAAAGCACTATAACATAATAAGATGAACACTTATGGACAAATCACTTTCAGTAATAATAAATGAACTGACTTCTTTATTAGGTGAAGTAATTTCAGTAAAACACTATTGCACGTGTAATAGCTCCGATTCTGAATTTTCAAAATCCTAAATAATGGCATAATTATCCTTTTAAAGCAGTGAATGCCGTGGCTAACCAGTAACCATAGGAAGACTAGTTCAAAGGTCACACATACATCAATAGATACATACATATAGACATATGCAGGGAGGTAAAAGAGTGAGGAGAGTGAGAATTTGTACCATTTGACAGCGAGTCCAGAAACATCACCAGCTGCATCGTCAAGCTGTTGAATGATGATGTTTGTCAATTTTACCTCTAGATCAGCATCCGCTTTAAACGTCGCTTTGCTCAACTCATTCAGCAAATCAGATGTGGCCATATATCTGTAGTCTTTGTCCTTCCCAGTCATCTGTCAGAAGAAATCGGAAAACACTAAGCATAAACAGCCATAATGCTAAGCACATGTTCATGTTCGTGTATATGCATACCTTTTCCAGTATGCCAGTCAAAGCTAAATTGGCCATTTCTCCACCAGTGTATGACTATTGTCAAATCTCACTCAGCAATCTGAGAAGCAACGGACGAAGAAGCGCAATTGCAAAAAGAAGTAGAATGAGAAATCAGATTGCGAAAACCCTGATTTACAGTGAGATATGAGTTGAAAGTAGCCCCGAAAACCTGATTGCGGAATCTCAAAATGCTAATGATGAGAAGAAGCTGAACGGAACCCTAGTTATAGAATGGATCAGAAATTGAAATCGATGCACCGCTTCTCTTTTCTGATTACAAGTGCCTCACTCCTCGCTCCTCATGCCACTGCCTATAAACTTCCATTTCAAACCCTATTCACTTTCATTTCTCTTCTACTTATTATTACATCTATTTATTACGTAATCGTATCATATATATTGCGACATTACATGTCAGCACCGCTTCGGTTAGTTTTTATCTGTCGTTTTACACAATTTTTTTAAAAAAAGTTAATGTTTGATTTATATAAAATTTATTGTCTAAATTTATTTTTTATAATTAAGTTTATTTTAATTTATTAATCTCATTTATTATGTTTTAATATTAAAAATTAACCATTATATTACAAATAAGAATATTTTATTTTGTAAATACAACTTTTAATAAAATTACCTTGCTTCATAGTTTATTACATGTATTTTTTAATATTAAAAAATTATGTAACAATCATATATTAATTTTTTTTGTAATAACATTTTTTTCTTAATTTTAATTTAATTATTAAAAATAAAAAATTTTATTTGTTATTTTCCAACTCCTCTATATAAATTTTTAATTTATCCATAATAGTTATATTTATAAAATTTCTCTTATTATTTTACATGATTTTTTAAAATATATTTGTATTTATATGAAATTATAATAATTAATATTTTTTTATTATTTTAAGTAAATTATATTTTAAAATTATTATAGTTTTATTCAATTTTTATTCTTTTAATATATACTATTTGTATTTATAAAGTTAAATAAAAATAATCTTAAAAAAAGACAATATTTAAATAATTTTATTATTATTACTATTAGTATTATTATTATTATATGTATTGCACAGGTTATTAAGTAGAAAATTATATTTTTAATTTAAATTATAAAAAATTATTTTAAAATACATTTGTTACTAAATAACTTTTCATGGGCCTAAGTTAAGAAATTAAATAATAATAAATTTTTATTTAAAATTACAATATTTAGCATTAGTAATGCATTAAATTATGTGACGTTTTTCATAAAATTTATTGTATAAAAGTTCTATATTATAGGCATTTTGAAAATTATTATAAATCTATAATATATAATTATTTTTTAATTATATAAATAAATTGAAATTTCTTTTTTTATTGAAAAAACCAAAAGAAGTGTATTAATAAATATAAGTACAAGAATCTTGATAATTTGAAATATAAATATTTATTTTTCTTTCTTTGATTACATCTTATTTTCAAGTTTAGCTTGTTTTGTACTAATTTGAGAGAGAAGTGCTATTATAAAAGTTAAAATATATTAATTATGACATTATTATCACTAGACTTATAGATGTTTATAATCTCATACAGTTACTTATTTACTTTGTTTTAAAAAAATTTAAAAATATAAATTTAACTTATGATATAATTTTAATGACCATATGTACCAAATTTTAACTAAATTGAATATTTATTAATGTGTAATATTATATTTGATATTTATTTGTAATCATTGAGATAAAATGATTTTTTAAATATTAAATAATTCAAAATTATACATCTAATTTTTATAGTCAACACTCATTTATAAACTCACTCATATATTTTAAAAATTTATATTAAAATCCTTATATAAATGTTTTTTTATATTTCGATTCTTATTATTTATGTTTTAGTTTCTATCATTATTGATGTTATAATAATAAAGATTAAAACACAATAAAATACTCATACATAAATTAAAATATAAATTATTATTAAGTATAACAAATAATTTATAAACGAATATTAATTACAGGATCAACGTATATTTTAACTAAAAAAAATTACAATAAGCTTGTCTATAAAAAATAAAAAAATACGATATCAAATAAAAGAATTATAAGTCTTAAAGAAACTGTAGACTTTTAATTAATTATATATATATAAAGAAATAATACATATTTTTTCACACGTAACTTGTTGATTTGATAAATACACCAATCAATAAATAAAATTTATAATTATAATTAATAAAACACTAAAAATAAATCACATATAATAAAGGTTTTGTATTTATTTGAAAAAATAGATATATTTAAATATTTTTTTATGAATAAAATATCTAATTGATAAAATAAGGTATCATAAATAATAATTAATGAGATTTTAAATTAATACAATAAGAATTTTTATTATGTAGTGATAGAAAAGTTACAAGTTGACTCATATAATAGAATTGACTTTCTAAAATTTTGAGTAATAATGTAATTTTCTATTTTAAATACAATAAATATTTTATTTTTCATAAAAAATATTTTTAAAAATGATACAGAAATTAATATATAACGAAAAATGTATATATATATATATATATATATATATATATATATACATATTTTAAAATAACTACACATTAAAAAATTATAATAAAAATATTAATGTTGATATTTTATTAATTATTTTAAAAATAAAATAAGAGATAAAAATATAAAATTAAAATTATTTGACACATATCAATCAACATTAAATTATAATACATATTTTTTTTATTAAGTTTAGTATCTGTACTTTTTTTTATGATTAAAAGATGCATTTAGCCTTTATATTTGATACATTTATAAATTAATTTGTATACTTAAAAAAATATATTTTAATCCTTTCATCGTCAATGATAATAATTCAAATGTAACAAAGTATTCAGTCTAAAACATAACTTTTTTAAAATGTAAAAATTAATTTATAAATGAGTAACCATAAATATATAATTTAAGTTAGATTTAATAAGTTTAATATAAATTAAAATTTTAATGGTTAATTTAATAAAATTGAACGTCTGTAAAAAATACAATAAAGTAAATTAAATAAGATTTATTCTTAAGAGTAATTAAATCAATTTATATACGCACGGTGGAACGATGAAATGCCTACAAAAGTAAGTCATACACATCCGACAAATCTATGCTACTATAAACAAATTAATCAGACTCGCTGCGAACTCAAGATTCAGGAGAAAGAAAGTGCACACGGATGTTAATCAAGTCTTCACAAAAATTCAGATATTTAATAATTTATTGCTATTTCTTAGCTGAACCAGTTGGGCCGAATCAAGACTATGAAAGGCAAGCGCCCTAAACTGTCGCCTAATGCCAGATCTTGTTTCGTCCACGCGGCTGATCTCCCAATGCTCCCTATTCTTGTCTTTCAGTTCTTGCAATTAATTTTCTTCTCACTTGTTTCGAGTTCAAGGAGACTAAATTAGAGAAATTGTTATAACAACATGAAAAATTTAACATTATACAATGCTTATTGGCTATACATTATTAACAGTTTGGTTCATATGAAGAGCCTCTCACAGCGATGAGGGTATGGGTATGTACACTAATATATTCACTGTTTACAAACATGTGGTTCTTGCTGGACCGTCCAATTCGACATCATCTCTGTACAAGATTTTTGCTCCACTGCCAGGGCCATTCACTGATCCAACGGCCTCTTCATCAACCAAGACCTCTTTAATTTTATCAATGTTGGCCATGTCTGGAATCTGTGGATGAAGAAACCCAAAAATAAAAACACGTTCATATTGATAACAACTACATATGTTTTTGTGTATAACACCCTTTTCTTTTCAACGGTTTTTGGAGGATGGGAAAATATGAATGAGGAAAACAAGAGAATATTATAGGGTACCTCGAACATCGCTTCAGTAAGAACATCTTCTATCAAGGCTCGTAAACCCCGGGCGCCAGTGTTCTTTGCCATAGCTTTTTTGGCAATCAATCTCAAAGCATTGTCGGTGAAATGTAAATTGACCTGAAAACATCAGACCAGATTGAAATAAGTCATTGCATAAAGGATAGTATACTGTGCTGGCATTAAATGCCGAACACCTCAGTAAAGTTAGAGGAATCTTGAGCACAATAAGGTTAAAGATTAAAAGCTTACATTGTTCATTCTGAACATCTTCTTGTACTGTTTAACAAGGGCATTTTTAGGTTCAACAAGGACCTGTGTATCATAAATAGCACTGTAAGCAACAGCAGATTTCACAAAGCTGATAGAAGTATAAAAAAATCGGTGTTGAATTTTATATATCATTTTTATGAAACATATGGTGCTGTGCAAACACATTCAAATCAAATCTAAACTTTACTACAGTGCGTGCACACATAGAATACAAGGTTTATATTTTATGCAAATAAATGAAATACCTGGAAAAGTTGGTCTTCATTCAAAGCACACAAACCAGCTAAAATTGGAAAACGCCCCACAAATTCAGGTATAAGGCCATAAGCAATTAGATCACCACTTTCTACCTGCAAATTTTTTAAATCACTAGATTAGCTACTAGAGGAATTTATTCTGCAAATCAGCCAATAAAAAAGGGATAGAGAGAGAGAGAGATTTACTCAAGAAATCCAACAGTAAATAAAAAGGAATGAAGATAACTAAAACCTTAAGATAACAGATCAAAAACAAAATGAAACTACAAATCACAAAAAAAAAAAAAAGATCCACAGTGAGCCCCTTCTCCCAGAAAACTGCCAAACTAAGGAAATGTTGGATTCATCTTGAGCATTCAGTTCTTACATTCTCTAGAAGTGATGATGTAACTATAGCATCATTGTATCCACAGGCCCTCATATTTGCACGAACTGGTACTCCAAAGCCAATTGATGAATCTTGCCTCCTAAAAGAGGAAAGGACCTCAATTGAAATTCCCAAATACGGGGGACGGATGTCGCATAGAGTGTTAGTCTATTAGAATATGGCCTCACCTTTCAGAGATGGTCTTCTCCAAATTCACAAAGGCCCCTCCACATATAAAAAGAATATTTTTCGTATCTATCTGTCAATAGTAATGCAGGGTTATGAGATAAGCAAGCTAAAGAATACATACAACCAAAGAAGTCAAACTCAGTCTGGGGAAGGGCATTATTTATACACATCTAGAGTTCTACTTAAATTGCAGGAAGATTATGCATCCAGGAGATTCAACGTAGGAACAAATTGGAAAAAGAGGAGGTTAAAAAAGGGTATGGTAGACTTGAAGCATTTAATGCAAATCATAATCCTCCAGAAAACAACATTAAATTTTTCATCTTTCATTTCACTCATAGTAAGGGTAGAAACTAGAAAGTTTTCCAAACTTTTCAAGTGTCAACTTCGTCACAGAATAAATCACAAGAATAAAAAAGATAGCAAATATTATTAATATTCACAAGAAGGAAAAACTTCGATTATCCTTTAAAACCAACTTTCTTATCTTCCCCTAAGAAGTATAAATTGAACTTTAAATTTTTAACCATAAAAATTGTGGTATTTCTCTAAAGCAGGTCAACAATAGAAAGTCAGGACCAAGGAATTATTTTTGTACCAACATACCAGAACGCTATCACCAGAATGATGCCCGGGAGCTCCTTTATCAGGTACACTCACTACCTAGGAAAGGGGAAGATCCCTTCATAATATTAGCAAATAAGAACAATATATGGAAAAAGAACCTGGAAAACATACTTCACAGTTTCAAAAAATTTCAAACAGTAGAATTCTCTGAGATTATAAGCGCTGGTCACTGTTAGTCCCTCACTATGTAAAAATCATTTATTTTAGTCTTTTCTATTTTATTTTCTACTGCCGTTTTACACTAAAAAGACTAAAGTGAACGACATTTTGCAACATTGCTAAAGAAAAGTGCACAATGGCTTCAACCAATTGCTAAACATTTTCTACACGCCCTAGATCTAATAAAATGTTGCTCAAATAGTTTGTCTATTATGGCAATGTAAAAAATTTGAGAAAATTTATATTTTGGGTAGGACATGGTCACATAGACTTTTCCTAGCATGACATATTTGCAAAACTGCTACCGTATCTTCAGATAACTGGCAGTGTGCATGCCCCCCACTTTTCATATAAATTTTATATGGGGAAATATAAAATTATGACGAAAATAAAATGTTAATAATAGAATTGACCCACAGTGCTTTCCAGCATTTTCAGTAAGGCCTGCTGAACACCCTCCCCGGATACATCTCTTCCAATGTTCAAACTCTCAGCCTGCAAAAGTAGGCAGCCAAAATCAACATTTTATTTTATTACAAAAAGAAAATACAGAGTCCATGAATTATAAAAACGCAAAACCTTCTTAGTAATCTTATCGACTTCATCAATGTAGACGATCCCATGCTGAGCTACTTGCACATTGAAATCAGCTTCCTAAATAGAAAATCCATAAAGTAGAGTGTCAGAAAATGAAAGTTGCTACATCTACCTCTAGGCACTAAATCAGCAGGTGAGATATTTAAATAGCAAGCGTGCATGGAAATTGCTTGCAGGAAGCACCCTTGCGATGTAATAAAAGGATAACAGCAGAGTTGAAGGTTAATCTTCTCGACAATGCAAAGGGAAGGCACAGAGGGTGAGAGGACATACCACAAGAAGCTTGTATAAAATTGACTCCACGTCTTCTCCTACATAACCTGCCTGAAGAGTGAGTGGGTACATATTAGGAAGAGATAGAGAAAGAAAATATAAATAGGAAAAAGGAAAGAGATGATGTTGCCTGTGTCAAGCTTGTTGCATCGGCAATTGCAAATGGAACATTGACGATACGGGCGAGTGTTTTTGCGAGTAAAGTCTTGCCTGATACGAGGAGCAAGGAGAAATGATTAGGGGAGACTCAAAGCGTTGTGGTTGACTTGAAATGATACCTGACCTGACCTGAGCCTGTAGGACCAAGGAGCAAGATGTTACTTTTCTCCGCCTCAACGTCGTCTTCACTTGTGTTAGTATGTTGGTTGAGGCGTATCCTGGTATAGTGGTTGTAAACAGCCACCGAGAGCACCTTTGGATTTGAGAATAGAATAATAAGAGTGATTTTCATTGCATTGAAGTGAATGAGTGGACGATGAGAGTGGGGGTAATGAAAGGAACCTTTTTCGCGTGGTGCTGACCAACGACGAAGTGGTTGAGGGCGTCGAATATGTGTTTGGGAGTGGGAGTGGGTGGATGGTGTTTGAGGGCGGGCCTGGGCCTGGGCCTGGGCCTGGGCCTGGGCCTGGGCCTGGGAATCTCGACGAAGGAGCCGTGGAGAGGAAAGAGCTTGTGGGGCCTGAAGTAGAAGGCGGATTTGCAAGAGGGGCAGATGTTGAGGGCCTGGTAGAGACCATGCTGGGCTCCCGAAATGGACAATGGTCTGTTGGAGAATGTGAGGGACATGTTGTCGGAGCAACGGGGACAGTTCACTTCCCCTCTAATGTGATCGTATCCGTCATCCCACTTGTGTCGCCGCTGTTGCTGCTCAACCCCGTTATTCAGGGTTTTCGATAATCCCAAACAGGGAGAAGGGCTGTGCCCACTTTGGAAGAACAAGAATAACGGGATTGCTTTGCTTCTCCTTACAATTGAAAACATGCTTCCTTCTTCCTTTCCACCCTCCTCACTGCACCTGTTATGCTGCTTCCCCACCTCTATCTATCTCAACCATTTACCTTACCACCACTTTTACTTTTAACTCTCGTTTCAGTATATTTTCATTTTTCTTTTGACATTTTTTTAATCTTCTCTTATTTAATTCCGTTTACTTTTTAATTTTTTATATTTTCACAAATTATCTTTTTAATATTTATTATTCACTTAGTCCATTCAGAACTTGATAAATATTATTTTTTTTATTAAACCTTCTAAGTGAGATTAACTAAAGTAAACATTTTTAAAAAGATATATAGCAGAATAAAAAAATTTGTTTTAATGAACTAAAATTAAAAAAATTTTAAAATATAAATATTATAAATATATTTAAGCCTTTATTTTTTTCATTTTCATTTGATTAAATTTTTAATTTATTTTATTTAAATTATCATAGTTTTAATTGTTTATATTTAATTATTATAATATTTTAATTATTCAAATTAAATTGCTTAATTTAAAATTTTATCTACTGAATAATAAACATATAGCTAAATATAACATGTAGATTTGCAGTTTATATACAATCATTAAATAATAATGTTTTATTCTATTTTAAATATATTGTTTATTGTTTTTATTTAAGTGTTTTATACGCTTTTATGAATTTATACAAATAAGTAACATATGATATCTATATCGTATTTTCAATTCATAATCAGGTGACATTTTGGCATGAGAAAACTTGATTTAAATTGAAAAACTATAAACACTCAAAATAAAACATGAAAGTTTAAAATTAAATTTTACATAAATAAAATACACGAATCAAATTATTTAATGACATTAGTGCATAATTTTTACAAAGTAGGAAAAAGAATTATCGTTTCGTAGTATTTGTCATGTGATATATGTTTTGAAACAAAATCATCGGTTAACAAATGTTAAAATAAGATGATTCTCTTTTAACTTAACGCTCTCGCCATTTTCATCCTTTTGAGTTTACATGTGATCTTGCTTTTTATCTCTCCCTTTTTAAAACTTTTACTGTCGTATCTCGATTGTCCTCTTTGCTGTCTTATACATTTACATAGATTCTACATGACTCTTATAATATTAATCAAGTATTAATTGGTAAAAGCTTATTAAAATACGATTCTCAAGGTTTTATTTTCTTTATTTTTTTTCATCTTCTCCTTCGCTCGTGATTAGTAGTCAAATTTTCTCTGAACTATTATTCTTTGCTAACGAACACGTTGAATTATACCATATTAGAAAAACAAACAATAGATAAAGAAGTGTGGTGCAATGAAAGTAGTTGTCTATAGTAATAACGGCATAGTCTGGAACAACTGCTTGATAAGTTTCGTAATAAGTGAAGGTAAGAATTAAAATAACTAGAAATGTATTGACATGCCCGTAAGACTTTGATGATAGAGATGCATTACTTATGGTCACATGTAATACATGGATCTATAACTATTTATAGTAGTGGGAACTTGAGTGATTGAGAAAGTTTTTTTTCTAGCAGTACTCCTGTTTTCTAGTTTTATCCTATCAACCCACTTGTTAAATAGTTTTGAGTTTGCCAGCATCGTAAGATAAAGAACTTGGTTTTTTGGATTGATACGATTGTGAAACATTAATCCAGACGCTGATTCTCTCGATTCCATGAGATCCATCGCGTTCTCAACTCACTTACTAAGCAGCGTTTGTTAGGCTAATTGAAATTATTTGATGCATTTTCAAAACGAAAAAGGCATAAATATTTAAATCCTCTGCTTCTCTTTGGCTGCTTAAATTCCTAGAATTGGATGTTTGAAAGGAAGATAAAACAAATAAGAAACTATGTCGTAATAAGGTATCAAATACATATATTAGAATATCAATGAATAAAAAAATATATATTAGAAGAAGACAGAATGAAAATTCAAGTTAATTACGAATTGGTTTAGTTAGATGAGAATGAAAAAGCAGATAAATATTGAATTGATGTTGGGTGACCCACCAAAAAGGAAAGTGCGGCCTTTAATTGCCGGTGGAGAGGACAGGTGCCAACTATGAACGTTGGGCAATGAGCAATGTGGTTCTCATTTCTCAAAGCTAACAACTACTAGCAGTTAGGTTATCCTCTTACTCATCACTCACATCGCCACCGTCCATATCTATAGGATTTCCATATAATTAATCACTTTATAGGATTTCCATCTTCTTTTAATTTCCTCCTCCCAAATTGCTAACTTATTATTTTTGTTATAAAAAACATAGATCTTAAATCAACGGCTAATATATTTTTAAGAAAAGGTTAATTGCGATATTGAAACAATTTGAAATAATGAGACTACCCTAATAAGATTATTATTATTATTATTAAAGCGAAAAAGAGGTCCTAACAATTGGGGAATGCGGCGTCGGGGGGGGGGACATTGGAGGACGAAGGGGCAGTGATTGAAGCAAAGCGACGTCGTAGATGCCTCAGAAGTTCCGGTGATTCCATTCGCCATGTTGAATGTGTGTTTTCACATATTCACTTTCTTTCGATGAAAACTATGCTCTAAAAATTCTATTAGTCCATCCCCTCTTCTCTCTATAAATTAGAATAAACCAAAACAGTAGAAGGAAGAAAATAGCCCTTTGGATCGATGGCTCCCAATCCGATGAACATGAGTATGAAGCAATCTGCGAATTCGACGAGTAGCATAGCAGGAGCAGCAGCATCGTCGTCTCAAGATATTCTCATCCGCGAAACGCTGCGTATAAGTGCCAATTTGGCGTCTACTCCCCTTCTCGAAACGGCGCCGCTTGAATCCAGCTTGAGAATGATCTGCTGCGAGGAAATCGATGGGCGTCGATGGAAGTACGTGGCAGAGACCGATGCCTGTGGCCGATTCAAGAAGAATTCGTTTCGTCCTCTCAGCTTGCATACTCCTCAGGCCCCTCTCGATGTATCTTCTATTCTCTTCTCTATGATTCTTCAAACAAGCATTGCTATTCCACTTGCATGATCAATTATTCATTCATCAATTTCGTTTCCATTCAAAGCAGAATATAAACCTTGCTATCAATGCAGGAACTCATGTCGTTCGTTAGATCCTATGTCGTTCCGGAAGGCTTCCCTGATAGTGTTACCCCTTCCTATGTCCCCTACATGACATGGAGAGCTCTTAAGGTATTTTATTTCCATCTTCCACCGTGAAATCATAGTTTTTAATTATTTGAAGTTACTGCGATGTGTTTCCTTGTTCATCTTTTACTAATTTCGATCTCGAGTTTCTTTAAGCCTCATATTAAAGGATACGTTTAATTGATGAATGCTTTATAAGGTATAATTGTTTTCCTTGTAGCACTTTTTTGGTGGAGCAATGGGCGTTTTCACAACTCAAACCCTTTTGAGTTCGGTTGGCGTCTCTAGAAACAGAGCTACTCCTGGGGCTGTTGCCATCAACTGGATTCTCAAGGTAACGATCAATTCTATCCACCATTACAAACAAATACTACTTTCAGTTTGCAGGCTTTGTTTGAAAGTAACTTTTATGATGAGCAAGGTTGTTGCTGTTATCTAACCTTGTGTTTTGGTAACCTGGTTAGTTCGTTTTTCCTTGGATTCTTTTTGGGTTGGGATTTTGTCAACCTTCACGTATTGAAAGGCAAAATGATACGTGTTATATGGAGTTAATGAAGGAATTATGGATAGGATGTTCCTTTCTCATAATAGTTACTCGATGAAGATGTACTACTTACTTTGCTCTGATCTTTATTTGAATTTTGGAGGTTTCTTATTGTTTAATGAACCTTCTTTTTCTCTTGAAAGCTTTCATTTAATACATTTTTTAATATTTGTGATATTGGTTATGGAAAACCACTCAAAGTGTAAACATGATTGTATTTTGTCGTACACTTATGAACATATGAAAAATCCCCAACATTCTGGTTGTTATGAATGAATAAATGGGTTCCTAAGTCTGGCTTGAATCTGATTTTCATGTGAACATGTTCTTGTCTTTTTGCACCCTCAAAAAAATCTGAGGTTGACTTTTTTGTCATAATACTGTTAATCAGTACTGTTCAAGTGAGTATGACCATGAATAATATACATAGGATGGTGCTGGTCGCGTGGGGAAGATGCTTTTTGCTCGGCAAGGAAAGAAATTTGATTATGACCTAAAACAGGTAGTAATTTTCTTGCTGCTTGTTCTGGTCAATTCGATAATACAAATTGGAGCTATCCCACAATCTGTTATCTGAAAGTTATTGTGTTACAGTTGCGGTTTGCTGGTGATCTTCTCATGGAGTTGGGTGCTGGTGTTGAACTGGCAACTGCTGCAGTGCCACATCTATTTCTTCCTTTGGCATGTGCTGCTAATGTAGTGAAGGTTTGTTGACTTTTTGTGGCAGGTGATTCACTTTTATGTCAGTTCTGCTGGCTTATTTGTTAATTTTTTCTCTTAGAATGTTGCTGCTGTAACATCCACATCAACTCGGACACCAATTTACAAAGCCTTTGCTAAAGGAGAGAACATAGGGGATGTCACTGCTAAAGGAGAATGTGTTGGCAATATTGCAGACCTGGTATGCTTCTGAACTTCAACAATTTCTATTAATTATAATGTTGGCAAACCGGGTTGATCAGGTTGATCCTTTTCATTGCTATCCAATCAATCATGAATCAGCTCTGTGCTTGCATGACCATTATATGCTTTGAACACCATGACTTCTGAAGTAATTACTTTAATTTAATGTTTAATGACATAAATGAAAAACATACAAAAATATTGGTCCAAAATATAGCTGATTGATTTTGGCTAATAATACATACAGCAGGGGAACCAGGGTTTCATAGGTCAAAATTATGTTTTCTTAGGTGAATTTAAGGTTAGAACTGTACATAGAAGGAGGATGGATAGCAGGTCTGTGGTATTTATCTTAAGACAATAATAATAGTTAATAGGCAAGAAGAAGGGTTGTTATGAGTCATATTAGTGATTGTTTACCCCTTTGAACAATGTCATCATAATGGAAAAATTCAGGGTTGATGGATGATTGGGACTCAAACAAGGAACAATTTTGTGCCTGGGTTTCCTTGGGCGTAAACAACACTGAAGGTTTGATACTTTGAATGCATTACACCGCCAAGAGAACAATTTGGCTGTATACAATGATGAAAATGTGTCCTTCGAAAGAAATAATTACATCAGTTTAATTATCACTTGTCTAGTCATTTTAAGGAGGTTGGGAATAGAATCCTGCTCTTGCAAGAATTGCGACTTACTGTTATACTACTGAATCCATTAATAAAAATTGGACATTAAAATATGATCCACTGATTCCCTAATAACAGAAATCTCAAGTTTAACGATAGTTATGACCAGATCCTTGGAAATTACTGAAGCAACCCTGGTCTGAAAATATAAACTTAGCTAAAAGTGGCATCTTACTAAACCTATAAAATTATTAAATTATGATGTAAAGAAACCAAGGGAACATTAAAAACAGCTCACAATATCAAAATTCTAGTATGACACTACAATGACTTGATCTTTAAGCTTATGCTTTCTATATGCTAACTCTTGTATCAATAGTAATTCTTGAAATTTTTCTATATTTTTTAGAATCTATCTATGTTAGTAACATTTACCTTGTATTTTTCTTCACCTTTTGATGAAATCAATTGCTGAATCTCTTTATCAATTTGCAGTTAGGAACTGGTTTGAGCATATTGATTGCAAAAAGGAATCCATCGCTTGTCACCACATTTTCTCTCCTTTCATGTGGATATATCCTTAGCTCTTACAGAGAGGTTTGGTTTTGTATTTGTAATGATGATGTTAATCTAGCTGTACTTCCATTCTGGTGATTGTGTATTTAAAGCTTAATGCATTAATAGGTAAAATCTGTGGTTTTGCACACACTTAACAGCGCAAGATTCAGTGTGGCTGTTGAGTCGTTCCTCAGGACAGGTATCATAACACCTGCGTAGATGCACTAGCATCTAACATCCCAGTACTAGATACTATTCCACCATATTCCTCATTCTTATTTTAACTAAATTAATCCATTTCAGGACGAGTTCCCACTTTGCAGGAGGGCAATATGAATGAGAACATATTCAGTTTTCCATGGAAAGATAAGCCTGTTGTCCTTGGTATATCAATGGACTGAAAGATTTTTACTTGTCAACCTCAACCATTTGTCTGAAAATTAAAATTTATTTTTAATTGGTTTTTGTAGGATCAAGAGTCAAGGAAGCATTCCAAGACCCTGGTGCATATGTTGCCATAGAGCCTCTGTTTGATGTATGCCCTTTTCTGAGAGCTTGAGATTTTTCAACTCCTTTCTTCAATTTATATTTTACTGAATTTGTGACATGACACATTCTTTTTGTTTTCTTAAATTGGTAACAGAAGGAGAGGTATATTGTAACATATAACCCTTCGAAACACAAGGTTTATGCTGTGCTCAAGGATCAGGCAAAGTCAGATGACATTCTGAAAGCAGCATTTCATGTGAGATATATGGCTGTCTTACAAATTTGTCAAAAACAGATTGAGAAATTCTTAATATGAAAAGTACTTCAAATTTAAAAACCTCATTTTGCAGGCTCACGTGCTCATGAGTTTCATAAAATCATCAAATGAAGGCAAGGCCTCGTCTTTGAAGCAAAAGGATGATCTTAACACAAATGTGATGGGCACAGTTGCTGATCTTGAGGCTTCTATAGCTGATTCTTGCAAGATTGTGGCAATTTCTTATGGGCTTTTCAAGAATAAAGCTAAGGAGCAGGTAGTGGAGCAAAAATATCAATTTGTTGGTTCTGCATCCTATCTTGTTCACTCTGCAGTATTTTTAGGCCTGGCTTTGAATATGTTATCTTTGAATGTAATTGTCGCTATTGAGGTATTGAATTTTTGGATATGTCGATGGCCTTCTGTTTGTCTAATGATGCCTATCCTGGTCAATGGACATTGTTGCCCTTTTAGGAGAGGGGGTAATAACTAGGAAGAGGTATTAATTCAGACTGTCATTTTTGTCTCTATCCCAAAAATTGTGTTCGGGCTCCCAAGCCTTGTTGCATGATGCCCTGTCATGGGTGAGTATACCTTGAGCATTCAATTGGGTTAGGTAATTTCCAAGGAAGGATAAATAATTTTTAATATTTTGAGAGTTTGAACATAAAGGTATGGATTCTAGTTTATTCGTATCTTCATCAGGGAGTTCATTACTGTAGTTGCAATGAAGGTAGTTGTGATGGAGATTGCATCTTGAAACAGTCTCCATTCTGTGGGGGGAGATTTTGATATTTGGTTCGGTATATAAGGAATTAGGGATGTGCAGTTACAAATCTTTTTGTTAATAATTGACATTTGAGGTCTTGTTTTCATGGTAAAGAATTTATGAGCATTTCTTCAATTACTGTATATATGATGTAAGTCATTGCAAATGCCTAAGTGCATATAATGTATTTGCTTGCAGGGTTGGACAATGTCCGAATCACTTCTAAATCCTGGTCGAGCTAGGCTGTATCCACATGATAATAGATGATATTCTCATATTGTCAGCTGGCTGCTGTTGGGTTGAGTGCCTAAAGTTTTTGGATTGCTCTGGATGTGAAATGAGTCAGGCAACTAAAGATTAAAATCACCATCGTCCAAAGAGAACTTGCAATGCTCAAGTCGAATCGTGCCATCCTTGATCCTTACAAAAGCCAATTGAACTTTCCACAGGATGTTAAGCATGGATGGCCTTTGAGTTATAGGAGTTGTTAGCATGACGGTGTACCACTTAAAATACCAATTTTGTGTTGTATTGGTTGAAAAATACCAATGTTCTTTAAGGTTTTACTTTTCAACCCCGTCCCCCGCAGGGCTTGTGTGGCTCTGTTTTTCTATTTTCCTCTTGTTTTTTTGTTCTTTATTCTTTTTACAGCGGGCATCACTGTTATATATGCTTTTTGGTTTCAAATTTGCAGCTTAGTTCATAAACTTGTACATGTATATACGATAAAAGACCAGTGAAACTCGATGTTGCATTCCTGTAGTTTTAATCGTGCAATAAAGTTTGATTAAGCTAAAGCCAGGCTCAAAGACTTCTTTTGTAGTTGTTTTCTTAAAGCGGGAAGTATAAGGAGCCGGTATGTTTGGACTAGAATATGTAAGGATTTTGTTTTGTGAAATATATTTTAGTCGAAGTGAGTTTGAAAAGAGGGGATTTAGGACCAAAATGACAAACTGTGCCAAAAATATCATCTAATCTCTGAATGCAACAATGGTACCTCAATGCATGCATAATCTAAATCATCTAATATCGATATAACTGTATCAATCGGAGAAGGAAATATACGGAAAATGGAACTCATAAGCAATCGAGGGAAAAACGAGATTCTCACTTTTATACGTAACAATGATCAATTATACTACTTTTTTAAATGACACAACAAATGACTGTTCCAATGTTCTCTCAGTCTAATGTAGGCTATCTAGCACTACTAATATTTTATGTTACATTTTGTTCGAATCAATGTCAATAGTCTTCAACGTGATTATCATAATGCCTTAGATGAAATCTTCAACGTGATTATCATAATGCCTTAGATGAAAACCTTCAATTTTCTCCAAAACAATTTTATTTTATTTTAATAAAATATTTAATATTTAACAAAAAAATATGTGAATTCTTCAAAATAATTTTTACAAGATAATAAATGAAATAATATAAAAATCATAAATAAATTTTTATATCATTTTAAATATGTTAATTAGCTTAACAAATAATTTTATCAAATATTTTAATTCAAAAATTAAGTTAACGACTTTAAATTTTGTTAACATTTACATTTCAAAATTTACTGTGTTTCTATATAAAAAATGAAAAATATTAACCTAAGGGCATGATATATAACTAATAATAATAAAATTTTATTAAAAAGAAAGATATTTAATGTATTTTTATAATTTTAATACAATTATGTATTTTTTATTTATAAATATTTTAAATCAGTTCCAAGGCCCGTAAAAAAACCCAATGGCCCAATGTTTCTAAAATGCGGAGATAAAAGTATTGTTAAATATTCAACTGAAAGTAAGTACAGTGATCACAGCAGGTCAACGTCGTATCCGCACAAAGAGGATTGCGGAAGATACCTGTGTTTTAGTTTCCACAATCTTGACGCCGCAATCGTCTGAGTCTCCACGTCGGCGACTGCAACCTTCGTTCTCAGCGACAGCGAGTGGGTATGTATCTGCCATGCCATGCCATATTATATATTTGTCTTTTGACAATGCATTCATTATGCATCTCTATTATCCTTTCAGATACTTGTCTTACTGTAAAGAGAAGCGATCATGCCTAAGCGGAAGAGGGTAGAGAAACAACCCCCAAACTTGACCATTCACATTCACAATGAGCAAAAATTTGATCCTAAGAACCAACTATTTCCTTCCCCTATCGTCCATTCTCCACGTACCGTGATATCTCCTGCAATATTCATCCTTGACAATGCTTCTCTCAAAAGGGGTCTCGTAAGGAAGGTATTTTTAATCAACAATCATCATCTTATTGCTTCTTTTCTCTAAATTATGGTGGAAATATCAAAATATATGCTTTAGCTTGTGTCATTCTTATTTATTTATCCGTGTGTTTTCATGTGCTTGGTTTAGAACTCAAAAATTCTAAACTCAGACGAGGATGCACACTTTCTGCTGAAGCAAAACAAGAATCTAAATGATTATCGGCCTGACATAATTCACGAGGTTCGTATTACTTTAACACTTCTTCTTCAAATATAGTGAACGGAGTAGATAAAGTAGAGGATACATAACACGATATTCGACTAAAACAAAGGCTAATTTTTTCATGATAATAGAGTATGGTTCATATTCCATACCCCTATTTTGTGGATTACTACAAATGGTGTAATCTCTTGTGAACAAATTGATGTTGTTTCTCTTGCATTGTGCATGCTTGTGTAAATATCTTTCAGAATCAGAACTAACTGTTTGACTTCTTCAGGCTCTCCGTTGCATCCTGGATAGCCCGCTTAATAAAGCTGGCATGGTGGGGGCAATATACGTTAAAATCGATCAAGGAGCATTGTTTGAAGTCAATCCTCATGTTCGTATACCACGAACGTGTAAACGATTCTGTGGTGTCATAAGTAAACTTTCTTGATTTCCTCCTTCCTTTATTCTATTTCCGGCTATTATATTGTAGTTTGTGTAATATGATGAATTTTATTATTTTGTTGTAATATAGTGGAATTACTTAAAAAATCTTCAGTGCGGGCCAAAGATTCAAATGAAATTCTTCTACGTGTTGTTGAGGAACCTATTACCCGCCATTTTCCTGTCAATTCCCACGTAGTAGGTGGGTTATACTGTTTGAAACTATAAAACTTTAGGTATTATTTTTATTTTATTCTACTGTGATTTTTACAGTAAGCATGGGATGCAGGTCTATCTTATACTTCAGAAAAGTTGGTTGACATAGAGGAATATGTCTCAGTTTGGAACAATGATTTGAGTCCAGTTTTTGTGGTATGCTTTAATTTTTCAATATGATATGATGTGATATGTTGGTTCCAAACATCCTTATAAGCTCCTTATGTGTTTTCAGGTGGGCGCAATGGTGAACGGGAAAGTAAAAGAGGACTATTTGCATGATTATATTTCAGGTTTAACTATTGAAAAATGTGCTTTTTTACTTTTTAATATTAAAAACTAATTTACTTGTTATTTGTATTTTGATTACGTTCTTTTTAATGGAAGAGAGAGAGAGAGAGAGAGAGAATTTTGGGATTTTACTTAAAGGTTCATTCCAGTGTAAGGTTTGAAAATAAATTTTGATTTAGATATTGGTAAATAGTAGTGTGCCAGTGACTAAAGCCAGGTATGTATACCTGAGCTTAAATAATGTATAGCTGATATAAATTTCAAGTAAGAGTAAAGGAAGGAACAAAAATGAAACATTCATTGCTTATCCTATCATGTATTTTATGAAGTATATAGAGCTGAAATTTTTCATGTGAATATGGACATATGGCCTGATATGAATCTCCAGGTGAAGGAATGGCCTCATTTTGCGCTTTCTCTTCTATTTATTCATTGAGATTGGAGGATTGGATTAGTGTATTGATTTCTTTTTGCTCTTTTCATTCTAGAGATATTTTATTCTCTTATTTTTTTCTTCTTGCTTATTTGATATATTTCTTATCCCCAAAAATAGGGAAAAGAAAGCCTAGGTATGTATTGTATAGGTATATAAGCCATAGTTTCTCAAGAATAATGCATTTATGCATCTACTTGAAATGTTTTTCAATAATTTATGCAGGATAAATCCACATGCTTAAAACTATTTCATGTACTGTGGTGCTTTAGAGACTGGGTGATTCCTTTGGGTTTAAGTTATTATCTCTGGATTTGTGGTTTTGTGATTATTAATTAATTATAAACTCCTAGGAATTGTCCTGTTTCCTAAGGAAGAGATAATAGAATGATACAGATTTTATTTTATTTTCTCCTGCACTTATTCCAAGTATGAGATACAGGGCTTTCCTTTCAGTATTATATTATTCTTTTTACCACTAGGAAATATTGACTTTTTCCTCATACTGTGCTATGCAAAGCTTTCTCGCTTTGAGAGAACAATTTCTATTTTTATTTCTTATTTTAGCCGACCTTGCCCAGTGAGATAAGGCTTGGTTTGTTGTTGTTGTATTTTTGCAAATAACTACAAATTTGTTACCTTGAGTTTGTTGTAACATTGCCCCTGTTTTTTTATTTCTATACTACTTTACATAGAAGTTATATTAACGTGTGTTATTGCTGATGCAGTTTCTGAATATCCACTTGCTGCTAAATGCTGCCTGGGGCTCATCTGTGAAGCTTTGGAGCAGAAATGGAAGATCTTTTAAATTCTATTTATATATTCAAACGTATATGGAAAAGGAAATTTGTTTTTTTCTAAGTGTACAGTTTTCAGCCAAAGAACAAACTTCTGTTTGGGGAATGTCAGCTTTGTTTTATGGAATTTATCTAGGGCTTGTAAATAACTCCTTCCTTTCGAATTGGTTACAATGCCAGTAAAAGTGATATTTAAGCAAGTGAAACGGTTTATTTTCTTTATGGGGCTCTTCTAAGTAAATAAGTTGTTTTAAAAGGCTTGGACCTGTTTGTTTAATAGTTATTAAAGCTGTTCTTGGCATTATGTACGAAGAAGCAAAAGAGAAAGGCGGCAAGTATATGAAGATTAGGCACAAATAACAGGAATTGATTTCTTGTATAAGGAGGCTGTGTGAAATTGCTAATCAATCCTGCTAACTCGATTTCAAGGGTAAGGTAGGTTTGATTTGGGATACTACGAGAGAAAAAATTGCAAGACCCAAATAAAATTATGGTTTTAAATGCTGTTGTGAAACAATTGTCTCTTCTTTTCGCTAGGCATGCTTGTTGATACAAAATGACTTGTCGAATTTGTTCAAACATCTAACAAAATGAAAATGTAGCTCTTTTACAGTCTTTAGTTGCCTTTTCAAGTTTTGTTTCCACCCATTGGAACAAATTTTGTTTCCATTTTCATTTGCGTAGTCCTTTTAGGAGCACCAACTTTGGCATTAAATAGATATAGCCAATTTAATATTTATGAAAACAAGAAAAAAACACAAGACATAACTTCCAACGTTGACATATTTACATGAGAAGATTCATCCCTTCATCTATCGCATGCTTTTCTTTAAATTTATCTATTCCCTTTTAAAAGCTTGTTTGATATATAGCTTGAACGAACCTCTAAAACCCTATGGCAAATAGTCAATAGAATCCATCTAATTTTCATACAATCTTTTATTAAATGATTTGGGTGCCCTTATTTAATTTTTCCCCCAACTTAACAAATAGACATGTATAATAAATATGTAACATTTCTTCATAAACAATTACTTCTTTTTTCAGTTTCCTTTCTCACATTGAATCACTCAAAGCAATTTCTACCGCTAATAAAGCTGTCTTAAGTTTCACATGTGCCAAACCTGCGCATTTATTCCTTGAGAAGCTAGAAAGAAATGGCCTTCTTCATTTAACACTTAATAAATAGCAAGTTTTAAGGATATAAAATAAAAAATAATAGATAGTATTTTCTTATTAAAAATTATAATATTTAATGTTTTCAGTTGATAAATCTTGTAATATGTTGTAATTTTTAATAAGTATATATATGTATTGTAAATCTATACAATCAATGATATATCATATATTTATAAATTTTAATTGCCTACATATTTCGTACAATCTTTTTTTTATTTTGAATTAGTAGCTTCTTAATAATGATTTGTTATATTATATAAATTTAACTAAAATATACAGTTAAAAAGTTAAAATATATTTTACAGCTTTATATTTAAATTTGTTTAATTTCGTTTTCAATTCAAACATGCATGTGATAGATGATGAATTAATAAGTCAATTTAAATCTTAAGTGACTTTGTTTGAAGAAACATTTTATACAGTCCACTCAGTTGCCAGAGATGAATTTTTGTGAAGTTGCTTTAGCTAGGTTGCTTTTCCACTGTTTATGTAGCTCTCTGCTTTCCCTTAAACCAAAGAACATTCTGCATGGAAGGATGTGCATCCCGATACAAATTAAAGAATGCAGCTTTTTTTCACACTTTCTGTATGTAATTTTCTATTGTTTTGTTTGGGATTCAATCAGTTTTTTCTAAAACACAAAAGCAACCGTTAATTATTAGTTTTTCATATAAATAAATATATTTATTGAACAATCATTTACTAAATAGAATGTATTTAATATTTTATTTGTAAATAATTAAAGTATTTTATAAGATATATTAAATAATCTCTAATTAATGTCTTCATAATACTAATTAACATGAGTGAACAAATATGAGACGCATTGCCTAAGTGGACCCCATTATATTTTGCCTTTTTTGAAAGGAAGGCATGCTTGCAAGATTTACTTAACTCTGATTAATGAATTGTTATCTTAAAAAACCCAAAAAAAAAAAAAATCTTTATTTTATTTTTTAGAAATAATATAGAAAAAGTAAGAAAAATAATGTAATTAACATAATTATTATTTATATTGTGTCCTCAGCGCATAAAGATAAGGGGACAAAGACACCAACTACGTTTGCAATTAAAGCAATCAACATCGCTTTGTTTAATTAAAAATTTGTTGATGTTTTTTTTTTCTTTTTAATTTAGACTTATGTGGAAGGGTAGAAGTATATAAGTCATAGCCGTAATAATATAAGAAAATAAAAACATCTGACGAACTGACAAGCACAAATAAAACAAAACAATGTCCCCTGTCGCCTCTACCTCACGCACTCACTCTCTATCTTTTGAGATGCATGTTAAATATAAATATGGATATTAATTAATTTTTATATAAGAGCTACTTTTAATCATATAATTATATGTGAATATTTGACAAATTTACCACATCATTACTCCTCATGATTTTTGCGAAATATGTTTGTTCTTTAAGAAACCAATAAGATTGAAACACTTGAATCCATTACTCTTTATATATATACATATCGACACACACACACTCTTTAATACTTTAATAATTAATTTTTTATGGTTTAAAATAAAATCTAATGATTAATATATATATTCCATACTCTCACATTTATAGGATGTGGATTCATTTATGTCGTGAGTTAAAAGCTTGTAATATTCAAGGTGAAATATGAAACCACATGCTTACTATAGGTATATGTATGCGTCAATAAAAAAGATGCAAGAGAACGAAAAAGGAAAAAGCTAGTGAGGATGAAATAGTTCAAAAAACTTTACATGGTTATTAACTTCTTTGTAAGCCAACCATTTTTTTTTTATGATATTTTAATAGTGACTTCAAATTAGTTAATGATGATATATAGAGGAGCAACTTACTCTTACAATAATTGTTTATAAAAGTTTGTGATATAAAAAGAGAAAACATATATATTGTTATATAATAGAGGTATATATAAAAGAATGTTGTAAAAATTTGTTGTATATATATTGTTACTCTAAAATTTAGTGGCATTATGTAAGCTCATCTGAATCTGATTGTGCATGTTTAAGTGCAAAATCTGTAATATTAAATAGCGTCCTTCCGCCACAGCTATGACGCATAGAATCACAAGCTTTAGAGGTGAAGAGAAAATCCCACGCAAAACTTGTTTCGCATTTTATTTTCTGTACATATATTTGGTCGTATTTAATATGTTATTCCTTTGGGTTTGTTGTCTAAATTAATGGTAAAAACATTACTATTTGGAGCAAGAAAAACACTTTCGAATTATGACGAACAGATATATTTTTTACCGCTTGAGAAAAATGATGTCAGAAGGTCGTATATATGATGCAGCATAACCGAAGCAGATTTGTAAGGTGAAAGAGAAAACAGCATACAAAAGCCCTATGTAATTCTATTAATACATATCGTACCTCAGACTCTATTCATTGCATAGATTCCATGTCCTCGCTTGATGGGTAGCTTGAGGAGAGAACTAAACCATAAACACCACTCAGAATTAAACAAGAAAATAAGTTGACGCAATGCAAATGCAATGTCCTAAACTAAAGCACAAGATATAAATGTATATATGGTAACAAGATGGGTTTATTTTTAGGTGAAAAGAACTCAAACAGATTGACTCTAAGAGGAGGAAAATGATTAGAGAGATAATATAGAGGAGTTGAAGAAAGTGAACAAACAAACAAACAAACACTTACGTACGGCTAACAATAATTATACGTAGAGGGTGTGAGATTTAAGCTAAACAGTTAATTAAGGTGCATTTGGGGGATTCTTCTTGGCGAGATTGTGCTTATTGTTATGCATCCAAACCTTGAGCACTCTTCTTTTAACCCCAATCTCTTGGCAGAACTGTTGCACCACAGACTCCTCTTGCTTCTGGATTTTCCAACCCACCTTCTCAGCAAAGTTGAGCATTTTGTCCTTTTGGTCTTGAGTGAACTTTGTCCTGAACCTTTTCTTCACGAGTTGAGTGGGTCTAGCCTGCACTATTCCACCGCCACCCTCTTCTTGCTCATCAGATTCTGAAGGGAGGGGTCCTATGTTGTAGGGCATTATCATCTGGTGAGGTGGTACACTTCTAGAAGGTAGGATGTTACCTGTAGCGTAGCCAAGAGCCTCTGGTGGAAGCATGTTCTTGTGAGGTCCTAAGATGAATTTCCTTCCCAGTTGCCTGTGGATGTGGTAGTCACATGGAGAGGGTTCACCTTCTACTTCTTTTCTGTGGAAGTTTCTGTGGCAATGGCAAGCAGAACAGTTGAGTGCCTCTATGGTGCCTTCTTCTCCACTTGGCATGAACTCTCCACACCCATCTGTCGCATTCCCTCCCATTGCAGCTGCATGGTTCTTCAGGCATTCTCTGTACCTCACCACTTTCTTGTACCCTCCATGTTCCTCTTGCATTGTGGAGGTGCCATTTGGAGGTGCTACTGCTGAGGATGATAGAATGTGGTTATGGTGTGGAGGGTCATGATGAATCATGAGCCCATGTCCATGCCCATGTCCATTACCATGTCCCCCGCCATAAGTTGAAGTAGTGCTGTTTATCGGGATTGGGATTTCTCCTTCTTGACTAGAAAGTTCCATTCCTAGCTTGTTCGATCTCCTTTTTCTATTATATGGGATAGGATAGGTGCCCAAATTATTGCAATTCTTTCTAAGTCTCACCAAGCCTTCAAATCCTGGGGGTAGGAGTTCTCGCCCGAAGCAAGGTAAGAACACATGAAAACGCTTTGGTTTTTCACTCGGGAAAAGGAATGAAAAGGAGCAAAAGAGAGTTATTGTGATGAGTAGCAACAAAATCTAAGTTGAGAAAAAGGAGTGAGGTGGAGGTGTGGTTAATAGTTTGTTAATTTGCATGATAGGAGAATTAATGGTGTTGGAGCAACGGACCTCATTATCTTCAGGTGAATTAAGAAGAGAAAGTAACAAAGCACATACTCAGAAGTAGGGCACACAGGACATGGTCATGAGAAGACAACTTTTTGAGCAAACAAGACACTTTCCCACTCTGGGTATTTTCTAATTTCTATCTCTTGAAAAGGAGAGAGAAAGTGAGATAGGTAGAGAGAGAGACAGACAGAAAGGGTCGACAGACACACTAACAGTGTCTATCTCTCAGCGAGATGATAGTGAATGAAGACAGCTAGAAACAAACCTTGTAGCTTTGTTTATCTCAAATTTCCGCCAGCTAAAAAGAGTCAATTGGAGACGAAGAAGTAGAACAACAAACTGACATGAAGAGGATTTGAAAACATCAAAAGACCTTGTATTGCAGACATGGTTGGTTAGAAGGAAAAAAAAAAGATGATTTGGTTTAGAAGGGGAATCACACAGAAAGAGAGTAGAATTAGAGTAATATAAGGCCGGGGGAATTGAAGGAGAGAGAGAGAGAGAGAAGAGAGTTTTGAAGGTGGGTTTTGCTAGTGAAGCACTAAACAGGAGCTGCTTATAGAGGAGGTGTGGGAGGACAAAAAAGGAGAGGGGTGGAAAAAGCAGATTTTAACAGACAAAGAGGAAGGCACAGTTGAGTTTTAGGAGAGGGAGATTCAGATTAAAGACCAAAAAAAAAAAAAAAAGTGGGGTGCTTGCTTTGCTTGCACTATCAGCTATCGAGTTTACGCCATATAGAGGGGAGCAGTGTGTCAGATAGTGGTGAGGACAAAAGATGACAGTGTGTGTGAGAGAGAGAACCTTTCTTAAATACAATTAACTGAAACAAACCTCTCAGAGTAAATATGTTTTTTCTCAGTCAAATGGTGCCCTCTTATTCATAACTCTATTCATTAACCCTTCCTACCAGAACCGTTAACTCATTAAGCAAACCCACTAGGCTAAATAGGATAGCAAAATGGGGGACAATGTTAGACATGACCATAAATATGGACATCAAATTCGTTAGAAAACCATTAACTTTATTAAAACAAACATCTTAGTCTCAAAACTATGCTTCAAGGGAACAAGCTTCTTTCTTTCTTTTTCTTCCAAGAATTGAATTCTATTGAAGTAAAATCTATTTGTTTCCAGTTAAGCCCCTTATCTCCTTTCTCACATTAGGTCCATTTTGACTAAAAATACTATAAAATGATCGACTTCCATGAGTAGGAGGAAGAAAAAGCTACTAACTTATTAGTGCCCTAATACTATTTTTTCTTAATTATAAAAATAGAAGATGGATGAACTAATTATCTTAAAATCAAAAGTTTTAAAAAATATTTCCACTCTCTATCACTGCATTTTTTTTTTCTTAAATTTGGAGGTTCTTGTGTATGCTAATGGGTATACGGACAACTCTTGTATGAGAACTTCACAAATTGGGTTGTTTAACGTGTTTTTTTATCTCTCTCCTTTTTCTTTCATTCTCAGCCGAATAAAATTAAAATAAAAAACATGATCTGTGCATGCTCTCACGTGCGCCATTATAGGCAACGGATAGTTAACAACGTATACTAATAGTAGCAGATATTTGTTGTGTCCTTCTGTTAATTTATTTTATGGATTAATATAGTTTTTAATAAAATATCTTAGCTTCATTGATGAATTTACCTAGAATAAAATGATTGATGTCATCTGATAATTTAAACAAATTTGTGTGCAATTTGCAAAATAATTAAAGTTGGTGATGGCAGTATGGAAAAGTAAAATGCAGTAAGGAGAGGAGAGAAGAGGTGTTAATTATCGTTTCTTTTTACAGAAAGGCCCTCCAATCTTTGTGATATATGACAAATTATTATTTCTTCTGTAAATATTTGCTTGTGGTGTTGTGTCAATAAATAGTTCGCTCAACATGTCAATGATGTTCCTTTGGAATACAAACAGCATTGAATTCCCATTCAGATTTATCACATGTGAGAGAGAAACACACACAGACCATAGTAAAGGATGCTTCATCCTGTCAATATAATCAATTTTGTTTAAACCTTTTTAGTAACTCTACTGTTATAAGTAATAACCAAGTTCAGATTTAACCATCCTAATCTTTGTCATAAACCTGTTATTCAATATAAGAGTAAAAACGGACTTAAAATAGTTTTTTTTTAATTGAACTTATACATATTTATTTAAAAATTAAGCTTCAACTTTTTCTCCAAATATTTGTTGACAAGTATACTGGGACTCCATAACAGGTGAAGTTTATAATTATACATGAATTTTAAAATTGTCATGAGTCAACTAAGCTATGCATGAATATTTATTATTATTGTAAAAATCCACAGATGAAAAAATATTTAAAAAACTGTGATGAAAAAGTTACCAGTACGTCACGGTTACTCTGTAAAGCTGTTCCTTACTTCTTTACATATTCTACTGGGAAGTAGGAAAAGGATTCTCCTTTTCATTGTATATTTGTTTATAAATCATCCAAATAGCTTTATTCTTTTATTATCCTTGCCTTTATTCCACTCTCTACACCACATTTAAGGCTTTATCCATCTTTACAATTTGTTTTTATCTATGTTGTCTCTTCTTCTAGTAATTCTGCATGGATGTTACTTTTCCTTTGTTGCTTTTCTTTCTACTTTTTGTCTTAGACAAACTTATTCCCTGTTTCTTTTCTCTTTTTGCAATTTGATCAGAATTACTCCAAATGTATGATGCACTTGAAGAACCAACATTATTATATTTAAGGTTTTTGGTTTCAATTCTACATGTGAAAATTTTTTATTATAAAAACTAATCAAACTATTTCCAGATAAAACTATTTTTCATAATAAATACTTATATAGCATTAAAAAAAAAAAAAAAGGAAGGTCACGATTCTGATTTTGGTAGGGGTTCAAAGTCACTAATTTTATAGTTTTAAAGACACGAGATATATTGTGATACTTCAAGTGTAAAGTTTAACGAACAAGCTATTGTATATACAAAAGATAATTATACTACAAACTATATAGTATGCATAAAGTTCAATTAAGGAAAAAATGAATTAAGATCTTCTACCCAAACACTGCTCATATATGGAGCACAATGATAGTATTCTAAATATTTATGTGAATATAAGGATTGTGATTTATTTCTCTGGTTACTATAATTATATTTCTGTGATGATAGAAATTCTCTAATTATTTCTACATAATTAATATTTTTCTTATGCATACTTGGACCCACTCATCCTAATTGATTTCGTTACTAATTGACAAGGAATGATAATAGATAAAATTTGCACGTTTATTTTCATATTCATATTTTAAATTAAAAAAAAAGTTGTGTTAATTAATGTTTAATGAATAAAAATAAAAAATAGTAAAACTATTAAAATATAATAAAAATATAAAACAAATTTTTAATAGATATTTTTATTTTTAGACACTGATTAACATTTAAAAGAAAATCTTACTCAAACACACAATTGCACGGACTAGCATTAACAGTAAGTATATTTCTACGCATACATAATAAATATCTATATTTGTATGACACTCATTATTCATATTTTATTTAAATAAAATATGAGATCTCCAAGTGGTTTTTTATAATTTTAAAAAAATTAAAAATGTATAATAAAAATAACTGTGGATGTTAATAAAAATATAAAAGCACTAATTATGATTATATAAAAATATTTCAAACTGTGTTAAAAAAATATAAATAACATATAACATATAACATAAAAAATTGTATATATTATGATTATATTGGGATAGATATTTACTAGGTTTTAGTCCAATTATGAATGCATAATTTGCATATGCACGCTCGAGAAACAGCAGGGTTTGCTTATGGTGTTGGGATGAAGGGTCCACATGAATAAATAGTGTTGATGACACATGACACCCCTTTATCACAATTTTCAAGATGCTTCCGACCCCTCCAATTCTCCTCCTTTTTCGATTTGGGGAAACACATGCATTTCCATTAGTTTTGAAATTTTGCATTATTTTATTAAAAAAAGTAAAGAATTTTCTAAAATTTATATTTTGAGAAGTAATTTTTTATTCATTTAAATTTATTTTTTGTGTGCATAAGATTCATAAATTTCTTAACAAGCTGCTTATGATGGTTTGTTTAATTTTATCATTTAAATAAAAATATTTTTAAGTTTGCTTTTGAAATTTTATTCTTAAATATAAATTAATATTTTAACACTAATTGTTTTTTAATTAAATATATCACAGTTAAGTATACATTCGTTTAATTTTTTTCAAAATATTTTATTTTTTGGGTTAAAAATTAGGTTTAATATAGGTTATCCAGTTTGAGTGATTTGGATTTCATATAACTTCAAATCTTAAATTATTTAAGAAATTTATAACAAATCGCTTTTGAAATTTTTCTTAAAAGGTTATGTTTATACATTCTTTAAAGAAAGAACTTAAATAAACAAACCTTAAATCAGAACAAACTCTTAATCTACTACTCATTGAGTTGATTTGAATTCCTCTTTTCAAAAATATATTTATTTTTTTCATAAACAGTTTTAAAATATTAATATTAAAAAAATGATTCAAAAAAAATTAACTTATAATAAAAAAAGTCTAGACAATGGTGTTTGTAAATAAAGCACAAATGCTAACTAATGTCTTTAAGTGGAAATAACTTGTTTCTAAGGGGCTGGTTAACAGATTAAAATTATTGTTTTTAAATATTAGAAATTTTTTATATAATTTTAATAAAATAAATCTTTTTATTATTCAGAATATTGATGAACAAAACCTAAAAAAAACTTGTATGAATGAAAGAATGATATAATCAACACAATGAACTAGAGAATGCCAACTTTATCAGTACAGTTGAAAAAAGGTTACACAAACTCTCTTAATTACTTTAAACTTATATATAAATGTGTCGGTCTCATCTATTCATCGTGCAACCGTTATTTGTTTAAGCAAAATTTTCTCATATATGTATGTGACCCTTTCTCTTTCAAATTACGGGTGCAAGCAACTCTAACTAGAGTTTGCTTCAAAAAGATTGAACTCACTTTTACATATGCAATTAAAGTTTCAATAATCTAAACAAAAAAAAAGATTTTAAAGATTAAGTACATAGTTTCATTCAACAAAATCTCAAAAATAGTTAAAAGTATTTGCTATATTATTAATTAAAAATATATAAGTCTAGTCTTATAATAGTTTTTAATTGAAGGTCTTGACTTGAAATATGAAGTTAGAAAAATTAAGTTATCTGGTTTTGCATTTAAAATGAAGAGAACAATATCTATCTATGCATTGTTACGTCATTGAAGATTCCAAGGTAGATTAAAGTTGATTACTCGCTTATTCTTTTCTTTTAGGAAGCGGACAAATGAAAGGAATATTACATAGAGTACTACTTGTTGAATGAAAAGTTAAACCTTTTCTCAAACATTAAAAAGCAAATTATTGAATGAAATAAAGAAGAAAAGAAAAGAAAGGAAGCCTCTTGATAATTGAAAAGCAAATTATTCTTGGTCAACTTGATTTGATCCTCTTGATAATTTCCAAAGATTTCTTGCACTTTGCTTTTTGATAAGATGCTGTTTCTTCTAATCATCCTACTCTACCCCAACCTGTTTTCCTAGGTGCCTTGTCTTAGGAAACAAGTGCTAACTTTGTTAAGCCAATCATTTTCTATTAACGAATCAAATTACTTAAATTGGTTTCGTTTTTTCCGTTCCCCTTTGGATCATTTGCTTTGGACATGCTTGTAATGATGAAGACAAGTTATAATAATTCCTTTCCGTTTAAAGG